CCACCGCCCCTCAGGGTGTCCCCTCCCTGCTGAGCATGGGTTTTTGTTGCAGGAAAACTGTTAACAGCAGCGACCACAGAAATACCTCAGGGCACCTCATGTCCACATGTCAGGGCGAAGGCCACAGAGGACCATGGGTGGGCGCAGGGATGCCTGTGGATGTCTGGCAGACACGACGTCTGTGGTCCTTCATGCTGGCTTCCTGTGAGCCGTGCCAGGCCCGTCCTGGGTGCCCGGAGGGAAGGTGGGAGCTGGGAGAGCCAGCAGCGTGGCTGGGGCAGGCGGGTCTGGCCGGCTCCAGCCTGGGTCACCCTTGCCGGGCCCGCTGCATTCCTGAGGAGACTCCGGGCACCAGGGTGTCACCTGGGCTTTATTTCTGTTGGCCTTTCATGTCTGTCCCCAACTTGGGCACCAAGATGTGATTGTTCCTCCCCTCTGCAAGTGAGCTAGAGGCCAAAGTACACTGCAGAACAAGGCCGGGGTGGGCCAGGGAGGAAGGCCAAGGCTCTGGGTCACGGGGCTCACAGAGGTGCTGGTGGCGGGGCACTTGGACAGTTGCTCTGGAGCAGCACAGGGAGGTCACAGAGAGGTCAGGGTTCTCAGTGAGCCAGGATGGAGGGGTAAAGGGGTGTCTCTGAGGCCCAAGGAAGCAGTGTTGGGACCAGAGCGGGGTCAGGCTGGGGATCAGGTTGGGAGCAGTGCAGAGGTTGGGGCTGCAGCTCTGAGCAGCAGCCTATGCCTTGAAGTTCACCGTTTGCTGGTTCTTCCCTCACCAACTCCAGCCACCTGTTCAGCAAACCACGGAGCCAGGGCCCCTCCCTTTGACCGGAGTCCCGGTGGGGTGCAGGCATGGCCACGGGCCCGGGCTGCTGCTGCCCACAGTTGCCTGCAAGCTCCACAGATGGGGAGGTTTCCAGACCCTGAGGACAGTGCACAGCTCGATCTGGAACTGGGCGGCCCCAGCATCGGCACATGCAGCACAGCCCACGAGCTCCCTGTGGCCCCAGGTGTAACCTGTGTCACTGCAGCCTTGCCCACCCGGCATCCTGGGCTTGTGTGCTTTTAGTGTCCCCGCTTCCTGGTGTTACTGTGCGCTTGTTTCCTGCAGAACTTGTGCACTTAGGATACCGGTCTCCTCTTCATGGTCCCCTGGCAACGCGAGGTGGCCGTGGGCTGTAGACACCCGCGTGCAGCTGCTGGTCTTGGGCCTGTGCTAGGGCAGACACTACGCAGTCTGGTGTTCCCTGCTGTAATTTTTATTGTCTGGAAACAACTTTCCAATGAATCAGATTTGTTCAACTACTTTCTTACATCTTCATTTCCTGCAGTCCCTAGTAAGTGTGCTCTGCATTTGGGCCAGATGTCCTCAGCTGCTCTCTCCTAGCTTTCCCGGGCTCACGTGTCACATGGCGTTCCCCCAGCCCAGGTGGGCTGCACTGGCCCCCATGTCTCCACCCAGCCCCCCGGCACCTGTCAGCGCGCCCTTGTCCTGCTGCTGGCTGGCAATCTTGTTTTCTCCCACAATAAACATCTATTCTGACCTGTTCACCACTCAGTTGCTCTCCCTGCAGTCAAGATTCCCTGGGAAGGCGCCACTGCCTCCCAGGGAGAGACCATTGGTGCCGTCTCCCGGCCCAGGGTCTGGCCCCCGTCCTGCAGAGCCAGAGACCCAACCGGTCGCTGCCTCTGGATGCGTCCCTTGGGGGCCGCCTCCTATTAACCTAATGTGTAAGAGACCAACACACAAGTCAGAAAAGGAACTTGCTAACTCAGGGTGGGCATGAGCCCTTGCACAAAGTACCGTGTCCCTCCACAGATGCCACCTTTCTGACCCTGCAGACAGGATCCCCTGCCTCCAAAGCAGAGTAGGAATGATGCCTGCAAAAGCAGAAATGGCACAAGGTGAAGGGGCAGTTACCTTGGGACACACCTTGCTCACAGCGGGTCACCGCGCTGGGGGCTCCGTGCTGAGTGCAGTTCTGGGAAGGAGTCTGGCGGGGGCTCTCGCTGCCTCTGTAACAGCTGCTGCAGAATGAACGCTGAGCCCTGTTTCCACTTTTCACCTGCGTTCACAAAGCTAAAATCCTCTTTAGATTTGTCGGAAAATGGGTACTAACATAGGTTGTTTGTAAACACAAAATGGCGTAAACTCTCCAAAAGCGGGGACACCTGTCCCTGGGAGACTAGGGTAGGCTGGCGGGCTGCTTGGTGCCTGCAGCACGCCGTGACCCTGTCCGCTTCCTGAGCCCCTGGGGTCACCGCCCTCGGGTCCTGAGTCCTGATGGGCTCCCGTCTGTCCCCCTCCCTGTGCACCTGCTCATGTGGCCTTCGTTCGAGCAGCTGTTCTCACAAGGGGGGATTCTGCCCTGAGAAGGGACGTTGGCATACCTGGGAACATTTCTGGTTGTCAGCTGAGGGCAGGTGCTACTGGCATCTGGTGGGTGGGGGCAGGGAAGCTGCTCAGCTTCCTATAAAGTGAGGGTGGGGACCCACTAGACCATGACGATAGGTAAAGGCTAAAGCGATTCAAGGGCAAGAGAGGGTACAAGCTGTTGGCAAAGTTTTAGAAGCTGGAAAACGAGAGGCAGCTTTCAGCAGAAGCCTGAGCACTTGGCAAGGTGCCCATTCATTCTGAGAAGCCTGGCAGGGCCTGGGGACAGCGTCTAGGTCCCCCCAAAGGTGGGGCAGAGGCAGGCAGACAAGTGGTGATTGGCTAGAAGATTCCATAGGAGTGATTAGAACCCCTCAGGTCTCCCCACCTCATGGGAAACAGAAGGTGCCCCCAGCCCTCTGAAACTGAAGCGGCCGGACAGACTGAAGAGAACAGGTGAAGGTCCAGGCCACAGCTACCTCTCTCCTCCATGGGGAGGACATGGCCTCCATCCCAAGCCCCCTCCTCTACCCTGCCGTCTCCCCATCTCCAAAAGCAGCCATCAACCGCACTCCAGCCTGAATACTGAGTCCTCATGCCCCATGTCCCAGCCAGCAGCCAGTCCTGTCAGTTCTGTCCCCATATGGGGCCCTACTGAGCCTCCTCCATTCAGCCCATCTCTCCCGCCGCCTCAAATTGACCTTAACTGCAAATTGAACTTAATGGATCCTACCTCCCCTGCTCAGGACCTTCAGTGGCTCCTGGTCCAAGCAGACTGAAACCCAGGTTCCGAATTGGCTTCAAGCCACAGTCCAGCTCGTTTCACCCTCCCCTTGTCACCACGCACCAGCTTGCCTGGTCTTCCACATCAGAGATGACAGTCCATGATGCCTTGGGACCTTTGCACACTCTTCTGACTTGAATACTCTCACCTCCAGCCTTTGTGTGACTAGCCTGCCCTCCTCCCTCCCCTTCCTCCTGGATGTCACCTCCTTAGAGAGCCCTCTGAGGCAGGGGCCTGTCCTATTCCACACTGTCCCCCAGATTGTGGCCCAGAGCCTGGCCCGAGGTCAGGCGGAGGGGAGCAGGGGTGACTATAGAACCAGCGGGGCTGGTGGAGCAGGCAGTTCCACTACCACTGCAGCCTCTAGCCATTGGCAGGAATCTGCTGCCCCAGGTGCAGGCTCTTTTTCTCCAGCTCTCAGCGCGCTTCAGCCTCTTCCCCAGCTCTCTCCCTGGTCTCACCACCCACCAAGGACAGCCCCTTCCCACACCCTTGGTCCTTCACATGTCCTTGATCCTCCAGTTTCTCTGCTGCCTAGGACCCACCTTGGGGCCAGAGGTCGCTCGCTCCCTGATGAGATCCTCGGGAGTGGGGCCGCTGGCAGTGGTTCCTCCCTTGCTGTCTCCTTGCTGTCTGCCTGCCCGGGCTCAGGGGTAGCGCCTGTGGGTGTTTTTCCCTGCTGGATTGCTTCATGGAATCCTTCTCCAGCTGTTTGCTTTTCCCCACAAGAGGGGGTGACGCTTAAACCCTCCTTCCGGTTGTAAGAAGTGGGCTGAGAAAGAGGCTTTGGATGAAAATCAGGAGGAAATTCAGGAAGAATTCCACAAAAAGATTTTGGCAAAATCTGTAACACACTCCTAAGCCCCTAGATTTTGGAACACATTTCAATGACAGGGCTGTTTAGGAGGCATTCGAGACACCCTCAAAAAAGGCAGAAAGAATCTGCTTTCAGCAAGTTTCCCAGCAAATGATGGCCCTTCGTAGAAGCATTCTGAAAAAAGCAAGAGCCCTCCGAGGATGATTCGGACGGAACTTTTAATATTACCGACGGGAGAATCCCAGGGGGTAACAAGACCTTTGCTGTGGTATACAATCCAGCCCTCGCTGCGCAAGGAGGGATCCTGCCACACGAGCGCTGCCCTGAAACCGCGTGGACAGGGGACCGCGAGCCCAGGGGACGAACCAGGGGTGGCCGGCCTCCACAGGCCCCGCCCACCTCCCGGGGAGCCCCGCCTCGCGCGACCACCGAGGCGGCAGTCCTCCGGGCGCCCAGAGCGTCCAGGAAGTG